GGCGCCAGCCCCGGGGTGGCGCCTGAGGGCACCGGGGTCCGGCGGCCCTCCTGGCCCCGCCTCGCTCGCAGCCCGCCGGCGCCTGGGGCGTGAGGTTGCCAGCGTGAGCCCGCCGCGCGCAGAGGCCAGACCCGTGCGCATCTCCTGGTGCCCGCGCGCTGTGCACTTCAGGGACCCACTGTTGGGGGCGGGGCGCGGGGGTGAATTATCCCGGGACATTTCTAGTTTACAGTGTGACTCGCGCGAAGAAAGTGCGGCCCTGGGGCCCCTCCGGGACAGGGTGCCTTATCGACCCCTCTTGAAGGGACGGAGACTCCGGTTCAGCCCCCGCGTGCCTGATCTTCGGAGGAGTCTCTATGCTAATGAGCGTGTTAGCAGTCCGGATGACGGAAGCGGCCTGGAGGGGCGGCGGGCCGGCCCGGCACCAGTCTCAGCGCCGGGCTGAGAGGAGGCAGGACGTTGGCTCACCTTCTCACCTCTGACGAAGTCGGGGCTTTAACCCCGCGCACCGCCGACCTGAGGCCCAAAGGAGGGCCGGCCACCCAGGTGGGCCGGGCTGCCACTTCCCGGTCAGGTGGAGCCGAAATGATGTCATTTCCACCAGTCTCTACTTTGCAGTTTAAGATCGTGCTTTGATTATTAACCAAAGCTGAGGAAACTGAGACCGAGGCAGGGGCGCAGCTTACCCGGTGAAGCTTTTCCTGGGAAAAGGCTCCCGGTGGAGCCGGAAGAGCTGCCTGGAAAAGAGGTAACTGCCACTAGAGCCGGTCCTCCTTTGAGTTTGGCCGCCAAACCCCAGAATATGCTTTACCCTAAGGTGTGAGAACTGAGACCCGAAGTCGCAGGAATTCTCTAGGAAGGCTGACTTATTAGGACGATAGCCCGCGTCCTTAATTATCTCCACTTGCTACCTGTGTCTTAAGAGATGGGCTTTGGCGGGAGTCTTTTTCTGTATCCCCGTAGGAAAAGTGGGACCTGTTAGGGCAGGCAGAAGGCCAGAGGCTCTCTTGGAGGGGACACAGCCCTAGCCTCGCTGGTGGTGGAGGTCACATTCTCAGTCTGAGAGCCAGACAAGAAGTGCCTGAGAGCTGTCGCCTCTTCACTGCCTGAGGCCACAGTGGGGAAGGGGCAGAACCCAGACTCCAACTTGGGTCTTCCTCGGAAGGTTGTGCTCCGTCCACTCAGCCGCACACACTGATGTAATGGAATTGACTGCAAATTGTCCTTTTAGGATCAAGCCATTTGCTCTTTCCCTCTTTGGTCAGACAGGACTGTCATCCTCTATGAGCAAGTTAAGTTTTTTAAACCCACCATTATAACCCCCACAGTCACAGACACCATCTACGCAGCCCCTTCATTGCCTGAGATCTACGTACTTGGCATTTCTCAGGAAATAATCTAGGGTGTGTGTGTGTGTGTGTGTGTGTGTGCACGTGTGTGAGTGAGTGATGTGTCTGGGGAATGGTGGAAGAACCAGAAATTAACTTGGGCTAAGGTGTTTATTTTGGATAACCTTAAACTTAAATATCTCAAATTACCCTTTAAATCACTCCTCTGCTGTATAAACAATTATTCTGCAAGTAAGGGAGGCCCAAATAGAAGAAAACCCAAAAGGCAAGTACATCCTCATTGTAAGCCCTATTTCTCAACCAACCTCAAATCCTCTCTGGCTCCCTCTCTTCCCATTTCTGCTTGTAGGCCCAGTAAGGAGGAGCAGCTAGACACTGGCCACAGGCCAGGCCACTCAGGACAAGAAAGTCCTCTCAAGGGTCTGGAAGCTTGTTCCCTGCATGTGGGTTGCACATGGAAGAATTATCTCTGCCTTTTCCAAAGGTTTAGGAAGAGAAGTTATATTTCACAACTTATTTTTTCCATTTCACTTTCAGCAGACCATGGGGTTAGACCCACTTTTCCATGTGATGCCTCTGCTGGGGTATAATTTGCAAGCCAAAATTATTGTAATGCTATAGTATTATGCCAAGAACTTCCAGAGCACTTGTGTGTCTGCTCAACCCCAACACATTCCGTATATTATTAACCCTACTCATCAGCCCTGCAAGTTGGTGTTATTCCCAGTTTACAGATGGGGTAACTGGACTAAGGTAGTATTTACTTCAAGCAGGCAAAAACGCACAGGTGTTTTCCTCTGGGAGCTAGTGGAGACACACCTTACAAGACAGATTCAGAAATAATCATTCTAAAAGGAAACAGAAAAGTTTCCTAAAGACAATATTGGAAAAGTAGTATGTCAAATGGTTGAAGAAGACAGGAACTTGTAGGGAAAGGATCAGAGCACTACAGGCAGTCAGAGCTGAACAGACTGTCCTTTCACAGAGCCAGTCACCCCACTTCACAGAGGGAAAATGGATGACTGAAAGGAAGAGAGTAAATCAAGAGGCACAGCTGGGATTGGTACCCGGTCTCCTGATACCACAAATCCAACATTATGCTCATCACTGCCATTTTTTACTTTTAGCTCCACCCCCCCCGTTGCCCCGGCACTTGTCCCTGATTTTCTTATTGGAAGGGTTCCATATGGCCCTGTTTCTGTTTCTGCCCTGTCTCAACTTCTCACTTTAGACCAAGGTGGGGACATGGCAGCTCTTTTTCCTGCATCCTCCTTCCAGTATCTGGAGGTAGGCTATGTCATTGATAGAGGCCTGGAGAAACAACAGACTCCTCTACTTCTTTCAGTTCAGGTCATCAAATGGTAATGTCAGTCTCCTGCTGTGTGCTGGGCCCCAGGGCAGGAATCTGGACTGGAATCATAGATTTGGGAGTCCTTAGTGCTCTAAGAAGATCTGAGGCAAAACTCTCAGTCATCCTTGACATCCTTCTTTCATTCCTGCTCCATCCAACCCTTCAGCAAGGAATAAGCAAAATCTTACCACTTCTCACCACCTCCACTGCTTCCACGCCAGCCCAACACTCCTTCATCTCTTGCCTGGATCATCACAGGCATCTGTTACCCATTTTCCTGCTTCTGTCTCAACACAGCAGCCAGTGATCCTATTAAAACTCAATCTGAGGGCGCCTGGGTGGCTCAGTTGGTTAAGCGACTGCCTTCAGCTCAGGTCATGATCCTGGAGTCCTGGGATCAAGTCCCACATCAGGCTCCCTGCTCAGCAGGGGGTCTGCTTCTCCCTCTGACCCTCTTCCCTCTCATGCTGTCTCTCATTCTCTCTCAAATAAATAAATAAAATCTTAAAAAAAAAAAAAACTCAATCTGATTATGCCCCTCTTCTGCTCAAATCTCCCATTAAATCCCCATGTCCCTAATAATAAATGCCAAAATTCTTATAGAGGCCCACAAGGCCTTATATGACCTAGTCCCCTCAAATTCCTAACTTCATTTTGTATTATCCTCTCTCCTGCTCTAGCCAGGCTGCCTCTTCCTGGTATTCCTTGAACACTCTCGCCTTGGAGCCTTTGCACTGTATTTCCTCTGCCTGGAATGCTTTCCCTCAGCTGTCCCCATGGCTCATCCTTCACTCCCTTCAGGTCTGTATTTATTCATTTATTATTTTTTTAAGATTTTACACAGGGGGAGGGGCAGAGGGAAAGGGACAAGCAGACTCCCCCCTGAGCAGGGAACCCTACGTGGGCTCGATCCCAGGACCCTGAGATCATGACCTGATCTGAAGTCAGACATTGAATCTACTGAGCCACCTAGGTGCCCCAGGTCTGTATTTAAATGTTACATGCTTAGTGAGGCCTCCCCTGGGCACCATATCTAGGATTGTTGTTCCCACTCAACACTTTCTATCCTTCCCAGCTTTATTTTTCTGAATGTTACCCAGACCCATTTCATGCACAGCATATTTTACTTATTTTTCTTGTTTATTGTCTTGTCTCACAATGGGAAAGAGATCTTTGCTTTTGTTCACTGCATATCTCCAGTGTTCAGCACACTGCCTGACACCTAGTAGGCACACGATAAGTATTTGTCAAATGAACAAGTGAACGTGAATGGTTAATCATGGAGGGCAGAATGGCAGAGGGCTAAAGCCTGGCATCTCTGCCTTGGACCTGGTGCTAGTGGCTATTAACTTTGGTCTGGAGGTGGGAACATCGCAGACTTGCTGAGTTTTTGAAGCAGATGTGTTCTGGTGTTCTGTTCCCAGGCTGTTCTCTTAAGCAGAGGAAGCCGAATGAGGTTTATGCATGTCTTCCCAGCATCCAGAGCGGGTTCCAGGAAGGTTGTGGCATCCAGGTAGCCCTTTCACAAGAGTCCTGGTCATGCTGACATTCGAGGCTATCTGTGCGTCACTGAGCCAGCTCTGTTCTCTCCACCTCAGGTACAACTAATCTTAAGAATCTCATTATGGGTCCAAAGATAATCCTCTATATCTAGATTAAAGGTTGTGTTTTGACCATTACCACACATTGAGCATTGAGCCGACAGTTTAATTGAACTGTTTATGCCGCTGCCTTGATCTCTTCCCAGAGAATTTACAACTAATTCTGAGTGTCTCTGCGAATTAAGTGGGCCTCTCCCAACATGCTTTACTTGTAGTTTGCCTGTGCCAAATCCCACCTGTCCTTGTGTTACCCAATTATGGGCTCTCGCTCACAGCTGTCTCTGACCAGTGCCACTTCCAGTCCACTTCCTCCCTGAGGTGGCCATTAAGATATGGCTCTGAGAATGGCCGTATCCTAGGACAACCTCTGTGATACCTGCAACAGTAGAAAGGGGGGTGGAGGTGAGGATTGGCACAGGAGCAGAGAGGGTGTAAATCATACTGACTCCTTTGAAGTCACCTCCAGGCAACTGACAATAACCCCCTAACAAGAAAAGGGTACAAGTGTCTTTAGCACAGTTAAGTGTGATGGAAGGAAAAGAGCTCTGGACTGAGGTCAAGACTCCTGAGTTCTTATCCCGGCCCTCTTCTGACTTCCTATGTGACTTGGTGTTACTATTTATAAAATAGGAGCTGGCAGATCATTGTTTCCCATTCTGTGTTATGGAAGTGTCTAAGGGTAGGGTTGCCAGATCTAGAAAAAACAAAACAATAGCAAAAAAGGACATCCATGCAATAATTGGGACATACTTACAGTGAAATATTATTCGTTGTTTATCTGAAATTCAAATTTAACTGGGTGTCCTATATTTATCTGTCCATGTGGGAGATAAAAAAGGCTCCCAACCCCTAACCCAGCCTCTGCTAATGAAATGGACAAGAGCAGATGTTCTTAACCCTGGCTGAACATTATAATCACCTACAGAACTTATACAGTACCCAGTGACCAGTCTGAATTCCAGACCAGTTAAATCAGAATTTCTGATGGATTCAGGCATTGTATTTTTTTTTTTAATTAAAAAAAAAACTCCCAGCGGTGCCTGGGTGGCTCAGTTGGTTGGGCTTCTGACTCAGGTCATGATCTCAGGGTCGTGAGATTGAGCCCTGCATCAGGCTCTGCGCTCAGTGGGGAGTCTGCTTGGGATTCTCTCCTCCCTCTCCCTCTGCCCCTCCCCTGCTCATGCAAGCGCTGTAAATAAATAAATAAAACCTTTTTTTTTTTTTAAAGGTTATTTATTTATTTATTTGAGAGAGAGAGAGCGAGAGAGAGCGTGTGCACCAGTGGTGGGGGGGCAGGAGCGGCAGAGGAAGAGGGGACATAGACTCCCCTCTGAGCAGGGAACTAGACTCAGGGCTCAATACCAGGACTCTAGGATCACGACGTGAGCCTAAAGCAGACGCCTAACTGACTGAGCCACCCAGGCACCCCAGATCAATCTTTAAAGAAAAACAATCTCCCTAGGTGAGTCCAATGTGCAGCCAAACTTGAAAACCACTGGACTAGAGCAGAGATTCTCAAAGTGAGGTCCCTGGGCCAGAGCATCAGCCTCACCTGAGAACTTTAGAAATACAAATTGTCATTCTGACTTCCTGACCTTCAGAATTAGAAACTGGGGGTTGGGGCGCCTGGGTGGCTCAGTCGTTGAGCGTCTGCCTTCGGCTCAGGTCATGATCCCAGGATTCTGGGATCGAGTCCCACATCGGGCTCCCTGATGGGCGGGAAGCCTGCTTCTCCCTCTCCCACTCCCCCTGCTTATGTTCCCTCTCTCGCTGTGTCTCTCTCTGTCAAATAAATAAATAAAAAATCTTAAAAAAAAAAAAAAAAGAAAGAAACTGGGGGTTGTGGCCCAGCAAGCCTGTTTCCAGGTAATTCTGCTATAGCTGAAGTTTGAAAGCCAGTTTGAAACTTCCTTAGAAAATTTTCAACTAATTTGCTTTCTAGCTAATTGCTTTGCAGTGATGCAAATCACCTGTCCTGTGGTGATTGCAGCATAAGTTATGGAGGTTGTGAACCTACTGGGTGCAGTAACTTTTTCAGTCCCAACTATCAGTCTGACGGCAGTCTTGAAGGCTACCATTGGCACCTGGAGCTTATTGCCAGTAGGACAAATTAGGCCAGGAAGAGCCAGATGTGGACCCGAAATGTCTGAGGGCATAAAGTTCTGGGTCAGGCAATGTAAAGGCCCAGCCGAAGAGGCTGTGGAGCCCATGGGCAAGGGGAAAGTGGAAAGTGTGGCAGGAAGAAACCACAGGTGGGTGGTACATTAGGTCAGTCCAGGTCCCAACGAGGCTGGGGGCAGTGAGAAATCAGGGATACCTCCAGGGTTGGTTAGGCCAAGTCACACTGCTTCCGTGAGGAACCGGGACCAGGGCAGGCCACAGCTGATGTAGACTGGAGGAGGCGGGTGTCAGAGATGGAGAAGGGAGTCTATCTTTGCTTTGTTTTGTAAGAGGCAAGTAGTGTTCAAGAACAGAGCATCATTTTTCTGCAATTGAGGAGGACTTAAATGCAAACCTACTAGCACCACCAGGTTTTCTCTGGAGGTCTCACAGTCAGGTTTATTTGTTTCTGGGATGCCAGGTACCCAGGATATGTGACTGTCTTGTCCTTGAGAGACATCTGGAGGGCAGGTAGCAGGGGCTGTGCATTATTCATTTCTGTCCACCCCCAGGCTTTGCTCAGTGCCTGCCAAATGCTAGGCCCTGAGTGACTGTGTGTGGAATCGAATCCAATAGAGATCCCACAAATCACCGTTCTTAAGTATGAGTTATCACCTCAGACCCTAATAAAGCACACCACTGAGAAAGTCCAGACATTCTATATGCAAAATGGCACTTGTCACCCTTTGAGAATCATTCCAGACTCTCTCCTTCCTGTCTTTCTTTCTCCCTTCCTTCCACTGAACACCTCTCCTGTGCAAGGCTGGATATTAGACTGACCAGCTCTGCCATGAGAGCTTTGCGCTCTGTAGGGAAGAACTGAAAAAGAAGGCGTAGAGGCAGCAAACATTGAAACCTCCAAGATCTCACTTACCTGGGTTCTAATGTGAATGACTTTGTGCTAGTGTGTAAAACTGTAAATCTGAGGAGTTTAACTGATTCTCCTCATCTCCAAAATAAACTTCGGAGTTCCTGAAAAGGTGAAATATTACTTTAAGCCCTATGGTTGGGAAAGTGATTTAGAACCTACACAGAAAATGTTCTTTTGATGCAATTTCCATCCTCTCACTTTGGCTGTAACATTTAAAGACAATTTTTAAAAGTCACTTTCCATGCATAATTTTCTCCCACTACAATTTTTTTCTTGAATTAAAATGGTCACCATGCTGTCATCTGAGGCTTTCCTGAGTGGATGCATTGGTCTTAGCCAAAGCCAGGAAAGAGTTAAAGTTGCAAATGGCCGTCTGTCTTCTGTCTGGGTTTGGGGGTGGGGTGGGGGTGGAGACTGCCCAATTGTCTGTCCATTTCTTCCCTTCCCTAGGGCTGAGTGCAGGATGTTAAGTCTCCCAAAATAACTCAGACCCTGAGGGTAAATGCTTGCTGGGAGCTGGTTTGGAATAGAGGATTCTCCAGATCAGAGGGGAACTTTCGAGGCCAAAAGATCTGATCTCCTGGGCTGAAAGAGAGAGGAGCCCAGCCACCTTCTAAACTCTAAACATCCACTAACCAGTCCTCACCAGGTCACAGGGAAACCAGGTGCCAGCTTCTTTCACCCACGTAGCATCCTACAGAACTATCATACCCAGACACAGTCCTGTAAGGCCTGTGGGCACAGCTTGGAGAGGCACTGGCAGAATGGGGGCAGAATCTAAGTGAGCCCCAGGTCACTAGAATTTCTGGAGTTCTTGGAGTTTACAAGATGCTGTAGAATCATTGCTTATTGTACTTGTGCAGAGGAGGGAACTGTTGGTTTTTCAGCTTCCCTGAGTCATGGTGAATGAAAGAGATCCTTCTGACCAGTCCTCAGAGCCCACTCTGATCCCTTTGGTCCTAAAGTTAAGACAGTGATGGATTTGGGGGCTCTGGACTGTGGGTTTACTTCACCTCCAAGGCTAGAGCAGCATTTCATTCATATTCTTGGGGTCTGGACCTAGCAAAACCCAGAGAGTTTCCCGCTTTTATCTCTATGTATAATTCTATTTGTATTTCCATTTGCTCCCATTTGTGGACTTAGGCTCTAAACACAAGAATTCACTTCTCCAGTGGTCCACTTTTGCTGTATTGTAGCACATCCACCATGGCCACTGTGTGGGTCGTGGTGCTCAGACTTGAGAATCACTTAGAAAACAGTGTTTAGAATGTACACTGCCAACACCACTGCAGAGAAGCTGACTTAGATCCTAGTGGTGGGGCCCAGGAATTTGCGTTTTTACATGAGCCACAGCTGATGCGGCTGAGATGGGCCAGGGGCCCCACTTTGAGAAGCTCTGGCTCATCTCTGAGCTCCAATCTGTGGCATGAGCCAACAAGTTGTGGTGGCGGCATTTCTGACTTTTGTTCCTGTGGTCTGATGTTCAGAGGGTCAGCCAGCCTGCATCTCAGGCAGGTAGGCAGGTAGGCAGGCTGGCTGTGGTGCGTCCCTGCAGGGCGTCGCGTAGCCTCAGTTGTGCACTCAGCAGCACACGTGGTTGTTCTTATTTATCCTGAGCAAATCTACTGGGTTCTGAGAAGTGGAGATTAGGCAGAAGAAAGGGGGGGAGAACAAATGTGAACACTAACTGTGTTCTGGGCATCACACCAATGGTATCTGCCAGTGTCCTGCAGAAACGCTCACGATAGGCGGTGACTTCCATTTTCCGGCTGAGAAGATGAGAACTCAGAGGTCACACAGCTAGTTGTGGTAGACTCAGGTCTTTTCAACTTAAAGGCCTTCCTCTTTACTTGTCTTCTTGGGGGTTGGGAGG